GTGTGTGTGTGTGTGTGTGTGTGTGTGTGTGTGTGTGTGTGTGTGTGACTCCCCACCCCACAGCACTGGGTTGGGCACACAGCTGCCAAGAGCGGCCCAAACTGGCACAAGGACGATTTCGGGGAGCAGTTGCACCTTCCTTTCTTTGCTGTCAGCTCACAGGGCCTGTCAGAGCTCTGGTGCGGATGGGGGTGGGGGTGAGAATCCAGGTATTAAACTCATAGTCTCCCCGGGGGGCGTAGAACATTACTGTGTGAGAAGCAAGAGCCTGGATCTATGGAGGCTCAGAACTCAGTGACCACGAGGCGGTGAGCAAATGAATGACGGCGGAGATTGGGGGTGAGGCTTCTAGAAGCCAAGGCATGCCAAAGACTGCCAGCAATCTACCAGTAGCTAGGAGGGAGGTATGGACAGATCCTCCCTCGTAGCCTCAGAAGGAACCAGCCCTGTCGACACCTTGATCTCGGACTTCTGGCCTCCAGAACTGTGAGACAATAAATTTCTGCTGTTTGAGCACCCCCCGCCCCCCCGCCGCCCCCAGCTTGTGGTAATTTGTTACAGAAGCCTGAGTAAATGAATACCGACTTTGGTCTCCACCACTCTGGCCTGGCCCACACGGCTGGCCCGTGGTCACTTCTGAAGCTGCCGGGACACTTGGCTGGGGCTTATAAGAAATCTCTTCCTCAAGCACATCTGGAATGTCCAGCCACAGGGAAGCACAGGTACATTCTCAGAAAGGGGACATAGATATGGTCTGTCTGGTGGTGGGGAACCAGGAGGGCCGGGCTGGGCAGCCAGCTTCCTGCACTGTCTGTCGGGGCGTCCCTTTCTGACTGTTTCTCAGAAGCTGCATGGAGGATGTTTCTGGGACACAGAGTGTGTTTTCATATCGGGGTCTGCATCTGGGCCCTGTTGTCACGTCCCCAGATTTTCCGCCATTGACGTCATGGCGGCCGGATGCGCTGGGCTTCATCGGCACCAAGGAGAAGCAGATACCCCACCCCACGGGTTTCGTTCCGAGAACTGGCTGGCCCATCCTGCAGCCATCTCAGCCCAGGTGGGAGTGATGTGGGTGCTTGCGGATGTGGTGAGTGACGTCCATCTGGCCACCATGACAAGTCCTGGGCCCCGTAGACTTGGGCCATGGAGAGGCCAAAGGTTTGATGCTTGGGGAGTACCATGCAGATCCTACAGCTATTGGGACCCTGGGGGTCTTCAAATGGTACTATGCCAGAACCTCAGAATCATAAAACATCATTTCTTAGGTTCAAAGGATCCCAGAGTCTCAAACCCACTTTACTATGCCAGAACCTCAGAATCATAAAACATCATTTCTTAGGTTCAAAGGATCCCAGAGTCTCAAACCCACTCTGTGGGGTCCATGGGTCCAACTTCACAGAAGGTGAAGGCCAATGTCAATGGTGTCCAAACTCACTGGAACTCCTTGAAGGACAGGCAGCTCATTACCCCACAGGGCCTCTGGCCCACCAGGCTTAGAACTGTAGCAAGCCTCCTCTTAGCTTCCCTCCTAAGTTCTGTGACAGCAGGAGGGTCAGAATCATCTCCTCTACTCCCCTCAGCCTGGGGCTGGGCTCTGTCACTAACTAGCTATAACTCTCCGCGGGCTCGTATGTAAACTGGGACAGTAATCGTACCTCTTGTCCAGAGTTAATGCACATGAAATGCTTAACAAAATGTCAGTGATGGTAAATGAACACCTACGGGGCCTCAGTCTCCCTGTTCATTCTGGGACAATGTTCCCATACTCACAGCCATTCCACAAGAGATGGCGAGGGAAAGAGGGAAAGGTAGAGGGCAGCATGCCTCTGGCTAGGGCCTCATGGTGGGGAACAGGAAGAGCCTTGGCCGGTCGAGAGCCCGCTGCCAAGCTCTCTGGAGGGGCCCGAGGATAGACGTTCCCAGGACCAGTGCCAATTCTGGGGACATGGTTGAATTCTATCCACTGCATATCATCCTTCAAGACTGATTGACTTATCCTTCCAGTATCACTACCCTCTGGCCACAAGGTCTTCTGACCCATGGGACCCTGGGACCCCACCCAGACTAGCTCTTGGGAGGTTGGGCCCCACACTGGCCCATGTGGCCACAGAGCCTCCTGCCTGAGTAAGGATCCAAGTTGTAAGAAGGCAGGAGGGGGGATGACAGCAGCTGGTGGGGGGGGGCAGCTCAGGTCCCCCTCCTCCCCTCATGGGTGCTGAGAAGTAAATGGAGGCCCACAGTGGGGGAGAGAGACAGAACCGGGGTCCCGCCAAGAGTCCCATGGTCTGAACTTGGGTCTCAACTTTGCTACTCCATCCCTGGGAGGCCTTGGGAGAGGCCCTCCGGCCCATCTCCAGGCCTCAGGTTTTGCTCCTATGTACAATGGGCAGAGAGAGGCATGGAGGAGGTGAGGGCCAGGGCCCTTCCACTTTGTGTCTGGGTGACCTGTTACGTGTCTGCAGGGTGTCAAGTCGGCAACTGCCCCTCCATCCAGGGGACTGGCTGAGAGACAGGAATACATAGAGACAAAGAGACAGAAACAGAGAGAGACAGACAGATAGACACAGGGGAACACAAAGACCCAGAGAACAAGAGATACAGAGAGATGGGAGAAACATGAGGTGGGACAGAGATACACAGAGAGTGAGAGATGCTGAGAGAGAATGAGAGAGAGAGAATGGAGGGGAGAGGAACTCAAAAGAGCAGAAAGTCCTAGAAGTATACACAAGGAGGGAGAGAGAGGGTGTGAGGAACAAAAAGAGTAAGAGAACGGCACAGGGAGATGGAGAGAGTGAGAGATGCCCCAAATAGAGACAGAGATAGAGAGACAGAGGGAAACACACACACACACACAGAGAGAGAGAGAGAGAGAGAGAGAGATGGATGCCTCAAACAAGAACAGTTGTTGATCTCTGGCTAGAGGAACTGAGGCTGTGTCAAATAACAAGGAAAAGTGAAGGGCAAGCTGCTGGGGGGGTGGGGGCTGTGGTCAGGGAATGTATTGTACTACAAAGCAACTGTCAGCAAAGTGGTATGGCTCAGACACTGAGGAACAGAACAAAACAGAAAGCTCAGTCACAGACCAACGTCTAGAGAGAAGTGAGTTCGTGATGAATGTGGCATTTCAACCTGGGAGACGGTGGAGGATATACTATTTGACAAATGCTTCTGGGAACATTAAGGGAAAAATAAAGTTAGTGAATGAACAATCAGTCCATATTCCCACCAATTCCTCTCTGCCCAGTTTGAAATGTCACCAATCATCATATACCCTGAAACACATTCCAGATCTATTAAAGAGATAAACAAGAATATCCAGTAGTGCTCTTGGGCTTCTTGTATGTCAGGCCCTATGCTAAGCACTTAACGTGGTTAGTACATTTAATCCTCACAACAACTCTTTGAGGTAGGTGCTACTATAATCATCACAGTACATGTGAGGAAATGAAGGTACAGACAAGTCAAATGCCTGGCTAAAAATCACACAGATGGCTTGGGGTGAGTTGGGTTTGTCCCAGACAGTCTGACTCCCATACCCACACTCTTAACCTCCACAGCAAATGGAAAAAATGAAGCCATAGAAGAGACTAGAAGCCAACACAGGTGAACATTTATCTCATTTTCAAGTGGGAAAGGACTTTCTAAGCACAAAACCAGAGACAGTAACCACAGAAGAAAAGAGTAACCCATTTGACTATATAAAAACATCATAGTATCACAAAACTCCATAAACAAATAGAAACAGTGAGTGATGAATTGGGGGAAAATATCTGCTATACATGTATGGCTATTGGAAGGTTAATATCCTTTCTAAATAAAAAGCTGTGACAAATCAATAAGAAAAAAAACGATGAACACCCCGTTGGGACTAAGGATATGACCAGACAACTTAAGAAAAAATACAAATGATGAATAAATAGTATAAATAATCAAAGATTGCAAATGTCAACAATGTGGTAATATTTTTTCTTACCTGGTATGCTGAGGAAGGATTTAAAAATGATAATACCCACCCAGGGTTAGCTTGAGTACAAGAAGCATATAACAGGACAGCCTTTTGGAAGAACGATATGCAGAGAGGGTCAGACACCTTAAAAATGCACACGCCCCTTGTCCCAGCAACTCCATTTTCAGGAATCCAAGGAAGTAATCAGGGATGATTATGGGGGAAAGAACTAGAAACCATCCAAATGTCCAGGAATTGGCATTTGGTCGAACCAATCGTGTTTCATACCAGTGTGAGGATAGTCTTGACAGCCATGAAAGATCCTATGTTGAAACAATTTTTAGTGATCTACAAAGACGCTCCTATTAATTGAATAAGGCAGGAACAAAACCAATAGAGAGAGTGGTTCTAATTTGGTTAAAAAAAAAATACTAACAGCTAACAGTGAGCGCTTGCTAAGCCTGCAGAGATGAGCTCACCCCAGCCCTGAACAGCCTGCTTGGTTCCTGGACACGGACTCTGGACACACACACACACACCCCCACACCCACACCCACACCCACACTCATGCACACATGGTCCTGGGGTAGGACCACACAGCTAAACCACGATTGATGGTGGCACAAAGTGCCCCCCAGGAGGTCCCCTTGTGCCATGCAAGCCCAAGTTCAACTGAGCGCTCAGCCTGACCTGACAGCTCACTATCCTCCTTTGATCGGGGCAAACAGAACTGATGCTCACTCTGGTAAGATGGAAATGTCCTCTTTGACGTTACTCAATCCACTATTATTAGGCACCAACTGTACCGAGCTCTGTGCTGGAAGCTGGGTGGGGGGGGAAGGCTAGACAAGAGAGCAGGAGAGACAGTGGGAGAAAGACGGAGGAAAGGAGATAGAGGGAGCGTGGTGAAGATGGAGGAGACAGAGACAGGGAAGCTGGGCAGAGCCAGAGAAAGGGCGGTGGAGGGTCCGAGCGCCAGGGGAACGGGGGGGGGGGGGGGGGGGGGCAGAGCGACACGAAAGAGGGAGACAGGGCGAGCAGACAGAGAGGGGTGGGAGCTATCAAGAGACAAGAGACAAAGAGGACGGAGGGGTGTAGTTGAAAGTTCCAGTTACACCTGGACAGTTTCAAGTTGTTCCAAGCTCTGAAATTTGTAAAGACTGGCAGTGGGCCTATTTAAAAAAAAAAAAAAAAAAATCCTACCCATCTACATAGCAATCAATTTATTTATCGCTGCCTCTGCCCACGCATCGATTAAGCGCTTTCCCAATCAGTCTGCCCGCATTTATTATTACGATTATTATTGTAAAAAAAATCTCTTACCTGGCTGAGCCACAGGAGCTGTGTGAGTCTTGACGGTGCCGGAGGCCCCCCCCCCCCCCCCCCCGCCCGCCCGTGCCTGCCTCACTACCATCTCCTCCACTGGACCCGCATCTGATGGGGGAGAGCGGGGACACTCACCTTGATGAAGTGGACTGACAGAAAAGGATCAGCCTGGCTTGTGGGAAACTGTCACATATCAAAAACAACTTTGCTTTTATACCGAGAAGAAAAACCACGGTGTGGAAGCCACAGACCTCTCTCTCTCTCTTCTAATAATCCAAATTTTTTTTTTTCGATGAGTGTGTGTGCTGATAATCACGGGGTGGGGGGGGTTCTCATAGCTTTTTCTCTCTCTTGCTCTCTCTCTCTCTCTCTTTCTCTCGCGAGCTCTGTTTCTCCTCTTCTTGATTATGAGACTTAAACGGAAATTTTGAAATTTTGGGTTTTTTCTTTGCCCTTTACGAGTCATCTGAAAATATGATTTCTTCCTCTTGCCACAGAGGTGAGAGGTATCAATGAGATAACAGGGCTCATGAGAAACCACAGTTTTTTACACAAAAGTGTGTAGAGTTAGAAAAAAAAAAAAAACAAGGGAAAAAAAAAAAAACTCAAATAAATCACGGAGGTGTCCCAAGCAGGCAGAGATACCACTCTGTGAATGTGATGGGATGGGAAAAAAACCAGCGAAAGAAACTGAATAGGGCTGGGTTTCCAGAGGCCTTGCCCTGCTCCATGCCTCAGTTTCCCCTTAGGTAGAATTGATGGTCATCACTGCTCTTACTGCCCAGGGAGGGGGAGCTCTGCAATCCATCTCCCCACAGAGGGGGCCATGGAAGTTATTTCACAGAGGAAAATGCACAAGTCACAGAATCTAACAGTCTGAGAATCACTGGCTCCCAGAATCCACTTAGCATCACTGAATGAGGAGAGGGAGAAAAGTCTCGTCTCATCACATCGTAGGGCCTGAGAGCTCTAACCTGGAGGGTACCCTACAGGGAAGGTCCTGATGAGCCCCCCGGTGTTAATGCATCCATCCTCATGAAGCCCAGAGGCCCCTTGGGGCCCCGACCCTCTCCTAGTCAGGGACACTGTGACCTGATGCTTCTGAGGCCCTCAGCCTTTGCAATTTTCTACTTTGAAAAATCCCAGTTTCCAAGGTTTTCAGATGCCATATATCCATCATCATCCCCATAGCTGACATTTATCTCCAATTTTCCACGGGCCAGACACCGTGCTGGACGATTCTCCCAAGTGATCACATTCAATCCTCACCACAGCCCTTTGCGGTCCATCTTGTCATCATGGCCGTTATACAGAGGCACGAAGTAGTCGAGTGACTTGCCCAAGATGACAGAGCTGGCAAGTGGGAGCTCTGCCTTCTTTGGTGCCGGGAGGGCTTAAAAACCCCCAGGTTTCCTTGGGCCAAACAGTCTTGGGTCTTACATTCTAGACTGCAGTGACAGGGAAGTTCTGAGATTTGGAGATTCCTCTGGGGGCTTGAAGCTTGTGAGGTTTTATGGTTGTCCAAGAATTGGTGCTGCATTTCCATACTTGAGAAGTAGCCCTCTTTAACCAGTGGTCCACAGGGGAGACCGGGCCCCAGGGGCTTCTCCTGAGAGGTCATGGCTGCCGCTCCCAGCCCCCGGCTCCTCAGCGCCCTGCATGGCCCAGGGTTGAGGCTACTCCAAGCCCTCTGCAAGACTGGCTTCAGGCCTGGGGAAGAGAAATTGGAAACCGCTTTTTATTCACATGGTACCAACCTAGTGGCCAAGACCCACCCCTTTGCCCCTTCACCTTCCCCGCTCCCCGCCCCCCACTTCCCAAGCCCTGAAAAAAAGGAGAGCCTCTTTCCTTAACTCTGACTCACCTTTCTGGAAAAGCCCAGAGGGGGCCTGATGGTCTGGCTTTGTGAAGATAAGAAAAAAAAAAAAAGTGAATAGAAAAAAAAAAAAAGACCTAAAAAAAAAATCAGCCAACAACAATTAAAAAAAAAAAAAAAACCCAACCCTCCCTACCATTAGTTCAAAACAAAACTTTCACTGGTTGAGGTTTCTGAGTTGGTGGGACACATCTGAGACCCAAAGATGGCCTGTGTGCAATGGGCAGCCAGGGGAGGCACCGAAGTGGGATGAGGTCCTCAGGTTGGAGGCTTGCAAGGGGCTTAACAGGTGTGGCATGTGGTTGGGAGCAAGTGGGTGTGAGGCGCTTGTTCACCAGGAGTTTTGGGGAGCTACCTTTAGGGATGTTCCCAAGGCTAATGTTCCCTTGCTCCGCATGGACTTGGGTCTGAACATTCCTTATACTTCCTGTATAACTATAAACTAGGCCAGTTCTAGAGGCTGAAGCCTCATTCCTTGCCCCAGGACCTGTGCCCTTTTGAGAGAGGGGGCTGGTTTTCTTTTATACGGTCAGAGGTGTGTGCTGGATCCTCTTTATACCCTCCCTAGACCATCTCTCCCTTACTGTCATTTGCTCCAGGAGAGGAGTGGCCAGAGAAGTAGGGGGATGACTGAGTGAGGGTGGTGGCCCAGGGTTCCAGGAGGTCACTTGAGTGGGACTCGGGGTGGGGGGGGGGGCGCTGCTGCTGCTGAGAGCCAGGACCCTTGCAGAGTAAGCGCTGGGGGGTCGAGTGGGCGGAGAGGGGCAGAGCTCACCACCTCCTCTCTCTCCATACTGGACTATATCCTCTTGTGTGGAAGGCCTCTGGGGGAGAGTACACAGGATTACACAGACAGGTCTGTGAGAGTCCCCAGAGAAGGGGGGTGGGGGTGGGGGGACTTTGACAGACTCGAAGGAGGCGAGGGATGGAGCCATGGAGATATCTGAGCGATTGCAGAAGAAACAGCCAGCTCAAAAGTCCTGAGTGGGAGTGTGTGATTTGCTCTAGGTCTACGAAGGTGGTCAGTGTGGTTAGAGTGGTGTGAGTGAGAGGAAGAGGGGTAGAAGGTGAGGTCAGAGAGGAGATGTGGGGCTTAGACCCTGCAGGACTTTGTAGCCCATGGTAAGGACTTTGGCTTTTACTCTGAGTGAGGAGGAGGCCACAGGAGGGTTGTGAGTAGGGAAGAGACATGAACTGCCTTAGGATTTAAGAGGATCCCTCTGACTGCAGAGTATGGAACAGACTGTAGGAGTGAAGATGGAAGCAGGGGCACCAGACATGAGGAGGCTACCACAGTAGTCCAGTGACTGATGATGGTGCTGGCAATGGAGGGGGTGAGGGGAGGCTGGATTCACGAAACCATTCTGAAGGGAGAGTGCACAGAATTTGCTGAAGGCCGAGAGCCGTGGGGCCAGACCGGGACACAGATAATGCCCTAACTAAAAGTAAGAAAAAACCCCTCCAATTCTATCTTGTTTAAGCCCCTATTCTTTTGTGATTTTTTTCCCCCTGTTGCTTGCAACTGAACATATTCCTTCCTGATCCATGACCCCACCCTGGACACTGAGACCTGAGGAGGGGGAGGCTACTGGGGGGACCTCCTCTCTCCTCAGGATGTTGCGCGTCAGCACCTTGCATACAGTAGGTGTTGGAAAACCCTCCCAGGACGGAGGGGAAATGTACGAAGGGCCATGCTCAGTGGACAAAGCTACATTTCAGTTCCCACAGGAGGCAGGACCTCAAAGGAGATTGAAAGGGTGAGGAAGCAGGAGCAGCGCTGCGGCGGAGGGAACGGCAGGAGCAGAGATGGGGGACAGAAAGAGGGAAGTGAGGCCACTTTGGGGTGTGGAGTGCCAGTGGGGCAAGAAAGGCAGGACTTTGGTTTGTGATTACATTAGATGTCTGCCAACGTGTCCAACCAACTCCTGGCACCATACAGTCAGGCTCAGTGTTTTGCTGAGCTGAAGTCTGAAAAAGCTCATCTTCCAGAAAAGGTCAATTTTTCATTTGGCCATTCATTCAACAATGGTGCCAAGTCCTGGAGAATGCTGAGGGTGACAATCAAGAACATTCTTGGCTAGTGGCATTGCTCAAGCAAGGGTTCCCAGGGGGGCAGGAAAAGACCCAGTTATTGCGACAGGAGAGTCCGTTTTGCTTTCTTAGACCTCACACTACTAAGGTGCGGTCTAGGTCTTCAGGGACTCGGCATTCACAGCCCTGGGGCAATGAAAAGTCACGGAGGGCTAAGGAGAGATGGTATATCCAACCACAAGAGGCATACTCTCCCAACGGCTGCGTGCATTTTAGGGCCCTGCGGCCCAGCCACCCTACAGCCCAGACCGCCACCTCTGGCCTCTTTACTGGCTGTTCCATCCCCTCCTTCACACAACCTCCAACACCCCGGTTGGCTCTGCTCTTGCCCGTTCCGCCTCCGTGTCCTTCCATCCCGCTAGACTTTGCAGCCTTGGCATTGGTTCATTTCGTTCTAGCCCTACCCTTTGAGGGCTCAACTGCCTTCATTCTGGCTCCCTCATTGGCTAGCCACCATCTCTCTTCCTAGCTCCCGCCTTCGCCGTCCACCCCCATTGGCCCTGCCCTCCAGTCCCGCCTCCGAGGCCGCCCTTACACCGCCTCTTGGGTCTCTTTCTAGCCTTCGTATTCGCTAGCTCAGCCCTAGCACCGCCTCTTGAAGGCATAGTGCAAGCTCACACGACTCCCCACCGGCTCGCTGTAGCCATTATCTTTACGTCATCTCCTCTACGCCACCGGCGCGTGGCTCCCCATTGGCTATTCGCAGTCTCTGTCTTCGCGTCCCAGCGCCTACGCAACCAAGGGATCTCCTGCTTTTCGGGCCGCTCCGTTCGCTCCCCGCTGCCCCCATCGCCTGTAGTCATTCTATTTTCCCCGCCGCACACATGCCGCTCCCGCTCACACTCCCGCACTAGCTGTCCTCCTTTTGCGCTTTCCATCCCGCACCCCGCACCGCCCCTATTTAGGCCTCCCCATTGATTCCCTGATCATCCCGCCTCCTGCACCGCCCACTCTCGGGCATCCCCATTGGCTGCGTGCTTCTCCTGCACTCGCTTCGCCGCTACGTCATCGGTGCGCGGCTCCCTATTGGCTTTCTGCTATACCTGTCTTCGTCTCACCGCCTACAGCCCCCGTGAGCCGTACCCCCCCCCCGCGCTGGCCTTCCCATTGGCTGCCCGCCCCTTCAGGCCCTGCCCCCGCCGGTCCCGCCACCGGTGCCGTCGGTGCCGCCGCCGCCGCCGACATGGCGCGCCCGGCCCCTGTGGAGCCCCCGCTGCGGCATCCCGCGCCCCCCTCGCCGGCCGCGGGCGAGCCCCGCACCTCTGTTGAGGCGGCGGTGGCCCCGCGGAGAGTGCTGTTCGCCGACGAGGCCCTGGGGCTGCCGCTGGCGCAGCTGCGCCGCTACCGACCGTGGGGCGGGCCCGGGGCGGGCAAGATGGCGGCGGCGGCCGGGCAAGATGGCGACGGCGGCGGGGCTGACGAGGACGACGATGGCGAGGATGGGGATGAAGGGGAGGAGGAAGAGGAGGCTGGCCCTGCGCCCTCGCCGCTGTGCCCCGTCCCCGCTGGCGGGGGGTTTTACCTGGTGCCCACATTTTCGCTGCCGCCCGCGCCGGGCCGTCTGGAGCGCTTGGGGCGCGTCATGGTGGAGCTGGAGGCGCTGCTGCCGCCTCCCGGAGCGGTCCCCGGGGGTGCCGGGGTGTGGGTGCCTGGGGGGCGCCCGCCGGTGCTGCGCGGGTTGGTACGCGTGCTGAACCGCTCCTTCGAGAAGGCGGTGCACGTGCGGGCCTCACACGACGGCTGGGCTTCCTTCTGCGACCACCCAGCGCGCTACGTCCCGCGCAGCCCGCCGGGGGCAGGAGCGGGAGGACCAGGAGCAGGAGATCCCATCCTGGATCCCGGCCTGGGCCTGGGCTTGGGCCCTGGCCAGGCGTCCGCCTCCTCGCCCGACGACGGCGGCCGCACTGACCGCTTTGCCTTCCAGCTGCCCTTTGCTGAGGGCGCGGGCGATGGGGCGCGCCTGGACTTCGTGGTGCGCTATGAGACCCCCGAGGGCACTTTCTGGGCCAACAACCAAGGCCGCAACTACACAGTCCTGCTCCGGATCGCACCCGCTCCCACACCCACTGATGCCGAAGGGCTGCCCCAGCAGCAGCAGCTGCAGCAGCTGGAGCCACAGCCCGAGTGCCAGGGTCCCGTGGAGGCTGAGGCCAGGCAGCTGAAGAGCTGCATGAAGCCGGTGAGGCGCAGGTAATGTCTGCCAGCGCCACCTCCGCCAACGCAGGGCTGTGTCTAGGATGGAGGACCAGCATCCCGACCCTGGAACCCCTCAGGCCTGCTCTCCAGGACAGGGAGGAGGGCGCGTTCAGGCAGTCCAAGAGTAACGGAGGCCAAAACATGTGCTAGGCTCTGTTTTAATTACGGGGGTTTCATTCATTTATTGAATTCCACTGTAGAACCCTCGATCAAGACAGACATCTTGCCTGCCCTCAAAGATCATGTAGGCTCCGATGGGAGAGGGTTTGAGGAAAACAAGCAAGCAGATAAGATACAGAGGGATAAGATAGTTGCTGAGAGGACAGTGAAATAGGGTAGGGATAGTTTGGAGGGAATAGCTGCTTTCCAGTGTTCAGGGAAGGCCTTTAAGGAGGTGAGGCCTGGGTGATGGGAAGAAGAGTCATGGGCAGATATATGGGGGGTGGGGTGGGGAGAGTTTGTAGAAAAAACGGGGAGGACTGTTCTGAGGAGGTGCCACTTAAACGGAGTCCTGAATGATAAAGGAAGATTGGTTATGCACACGTTCGGGAGGCAAAGGTGTTCTAGGCAGAGGGAACTGAGTACAAAGGTCCTGAGGTGAGCCAGAGCCTGGTGTGAATGGTGAGCAGTGTGCTGGAGTGGACAGAACTTCAGTGACCTAGTAGGGTGGACCAAGGGCCTTGCCAGTGGGGGACAGGGAATCTGATCCCCATTTGACAGAGCAGCAAACCAGGGTTCCAGAGGGAGAAACTGTTTGAGGAAGTGGTGGCACCCCGCTTTTCCAGTTCCACCATGGCTGACCTTGAAGCCTGCGCATCTCTTTACTGTTACGTTCTAATCTAGTGCGAGGCCTCCTGCAGGATTGAGGGGCTGAGTCTGTGCTCTCACAGGGAAGCAGTGACTCTGGCAGACGCAGAACCAGGTGGGCCTGGACTCAAACCTCTTGTCCTTTGTTTTTGCCTGTGACCATTCAGAGCCTGGGAGAAGGGGCCAGTAAACCCCAGGAGGCCTCATAGGAGACTAGAGTTTCTCAGTCAAGCTAGGAGTTCTTTGAAGGTAGCAGCTAGGCCTGATTCTTTTGGTGTGGAGGGGGTCACCTAAGCCTAGCCTGGGATAAGTAGAGTCTCTGTGCACGTGTGGGAAATGCATACATTTCTCTGCTTCTGGGAGGACTGGAAATGGGAATGGGAAAATGCGTTCTGGACCTTGTATATGCTTGATCAGAAGCCTCTGGTTGCAGCAAGATGTTTGTGATCCTGGCAAGGCCTTAGGCTGTGAGTGAGTGGTTCAGAAAGGTCTAGCTTGGGGCTGGTGGGCGGGTGTGCCTGGGTATGTGGGCAAGCAGGCAAGTACCCACTTACCGACCTGTGAGCCCCACAGTAATCTGAGACTTAGTCTAAAGGGGGCAGGCAGCGTGCCTTTCCTTACAGAGTTAAGAGAATGGATTCTGACATCAGAGTGCCTCCGTTCAAATTGCAGCCCTGCCGTCTGTTGGCTTTGTGACCTTGGCTAACTCATTTAACCGCACCGTGGCTTAATACCCTCACCTGTAAAGCAGACAATTACAAACCTACTGCAGAGGAGACGAGTAAAAGCACTCAGAACCAAATCTGGCTCGTAGCAGTGCCAGCAAGTGTTAGCTAGTGTTTATATTTATATTCAGGGAATCACACATACAGTTCCTTGGATACCCCTCCCAAACTCTGCTCTGCCCATCACCTGCTGTGCGGCCTTGCCTCAGTTCCTTCATCTGTAAGCCTCAGTCTTCTCATCTGCTAAAGGGGAATGACAGTCACTTTGGTTGGGTTGAATGCAGCAGACATGGGCAAGGCACTGAAGGATGGTGGTAGCCGTGGAAAAGAGTAGTGGCCAGCATTTACTGAGCTCTGTGCTGACAGCTTCAAGTCGGTTCTCTCCTGAGTCCTGCTGTGCGTGCTCTGTGGTATAGGTGCTCTGATTATGCACATTTAACAAAGGGGGAGACTGAGGTAGCTCGGGGAGGTGAGCCAGCTTGCTCAAGTCGACACTCAGCTAGTGAGTGACAGGACCAGGGAGGACATGCTGGTACTTTTTTTTTTTTTAATTTTATATATTTATTTGAGAGAGAATGAGAGAGAGCACGAGAGGGAAGAGGGTCAGAGGGAGAAGCAGACTCCCTGCTGAGCAGGGAGCCCGATGTGGGGCTCGATCCCGGGACTCCGGGATCATGACCTGAGCCGAAGGTAGTCGCTTAACCAACTGAGCCACCCAGGCGCCCGCTGGTACACTTTTTATTTTTTTTTAACTACTCCTCTGGAAGGTCTGACAGGGTTCAGGAAAAATTCTGCATTTCATTCCTGGTGTTCCCAGCAGGTCATGCTTTCCTTTTAACTTCTCTCTCTCTCTCTCTCTCTCTCTCTCTCTCTCTTTATCATTCTTTTCTGTCTCTCTCTCTCTCTCTCTCTGCTTTTTTTGAGGTATACAAAGTGTACTGATCTTAAGTATAGGGCTCAGTGGATTTTTACATACATATGTTTGTGTAGCCATCGCCCAGATCAAGGGTTGGAGTGGTCCCAGTGCCCAGAATCGCCTTCATTTCTGTCACTTTTCCCAAGTTGTCTTCCCAGGTGGCTGTCGTGGGAGCCCTGTCTGTAAGATGTGACAGTTTGGGTAGCAAGAGTTTGGTCATTTTAGAGCGTAAAAGGAAGAGAACCAGAGAAATCAAAAGCTCGCAGGGCCAAGGTGGGTGGAGAGGGTGTTTTTCTTTTAAAATACATGGGTGGTTTTAAGGAGAAATTGAAGCAGCCCGTTCAGACAATTGTTTTGGTATCTGGCCCCAGGTCTGTGGTTCCTAACATGACTTGTGATATTATTTTAAGTGGGCAGATGGCTTTTTGATAGCTTCTTTATCTTTTGATCTCAGCTCTTGCAAAGGGGAGGTTGGTGCTCATTGCAAGATCAGCGGTAAGATTTTCTTTGTAGGTCGGTGGCTTTCTTGGCGAGTACATTTCAACTTATTATTGTTTTAAAAGCTGTGTGCTGCCAGTGACTTGGAGCGCTGTTGAAGAACAGCTACCCCCTGCCACCCAGCCCTCTTGGGGACTGGTAGCCGATCTCAGGGGGGAAGGCCGAACATGCGGGAGCCCCGTGGCAGAGGGTTTCTTCACAAGTGCCGGCTGCAGGCCTCCCCCCCGCCCCCGGTACCAGGCATGGCCATGTCAGGTGGGGGGCACAGGGGAAGTCTGTGGTAGCCATGGGGATACAGCTCAGAAACCGGAAAATGGCTGCATTCCCTGTATCGCTGGACCACGCTTTTGTTAACTCTTAGGCTTCGAGATGATCCATCAACAAGCACTTGTTGAGGGCCTACTATGTGCTGGGCACGGTGCTAGGTTCAAACGGGAAAAGATGCAGACTGGCAGTAAGCTGTCAAAGGTTTTGTGGTGGAGCTGGGTGGGTGAGGCGGGGACGGAGGGCTTGCTGTGTGTGACGCTTGGCAGAGACCCTGCTCTGTGCTGGCCATTGTGCTGAGGGTTTGCGTGCAAAGGCCTCATCTAATTCTTTCAACATTCCCTGAGAGAGAGACTGTTTTATCCCTCTTTCCTGGATGAACAAACTGAGGCTCCCAGAGTCCAGAGTCCTAGGGCTGGTGTCGGGAGGAGCCCTCCTGATCTGCCTTGGCTTGACACCCTTAGGAGGTGTCCTGTCCCTCTTAGAAAGAAAGACCAAGAAAGCCTCAGCATGGCCTTCAAGCACCCCCCTGCCCTGTCCCCGAGTCTGGCCTCCGCAGCTGCTAGTCTCACATCCCACCGTCCTCTGCCTTCTGAGCCCCTATCACCGTGGTCTTAACAAGGTGCCTTGCCCCTTACTGCTTCAGGGCCTTTGCCCATGCTGTTTTCCATCACCAGGAATGTTGGTCCTGTGCTCCTTGCGGTCTCCTCGTTTTGATCCCTCGGTTCTAAGAGTGCTTCCCCTGGGAAGCCTGCCCGTCCCAACATCCTCAGGCCCCGATGTTCTCAATAGCGTGGATCAGGTGAGCCCTGCCAGAGAATGTCACGTAGCAGAACAAGTGTGTGTTGCCACAACTTTAAGATCATTTCCCACCCTGCCTGGCAGTCCTCGTCTGTTTTTCGGATCCACTCTTGTCTCCACTTTGCTGTGACTCTTTTCAGATGTTCTTTACCTTCAGACTTTACTTCCTGCTTCAAAAAACAAAACGAAGCCGTAAGAATGGAACTCCCCACAGCTCGCAGCCCCCAAGCCTGCAAACTAAGTTCCCTCCCTTGTGTTACAGGGGAGGAGGGGGCCCTTTTACTCCCTCAGGCCAGTCCCCCCACTTGTGCCCTGGGTTCCGCCACCTGCTCCAGAACTTGACCCTTTCTCTCCTGGCAGCTTTTCACCGCCCTCCTCACTGATCCTCTCTCTTGGCCTTTATACACGCTAGCATCTCTACTGTCTGAAAAACCTGTCCTTTGACCTCCCCTCTGTCCCTCCTGCTCCCGGCCAGCACCTAACCACCCCCTAACCAGAGTTGCTGACACTCTCCTTCTCCATTTGCTTCAGCCCCCCACATCTACCAGATTCCAGAGGTGGTTTTTGGTTTTCTTCTTGAAGTGGTTGAGCACTCCTACTTAAAACATGGTCTTTCCCTTGCCTTGGGACCACGCTCTGCTGCTTTTCCTCTTAACCCCCTGGCCCTTCTCCTTGCTCTTTCCTTCAGCCTCACATAGCCAGACTCGGTGTCTCCACTTGGCTGATGTCCCAAAGATGCGTCCCGCATTCGAGGTCGAATCATCACCTCCCCAACAGTGTTCCTGAGAGGCCTCTCCCCAACCCCTCCCTTACTTCTCTTCCTTCTAAGCATCCTAAGCCCATCCTGACCCTGGAGTCTGGGCCAGGGCCCTTTGTTCCAGGGCATTCTTCCTTTCCTGAAGGCACTGACCTCAGTTTGTAGTTAGACCTTCATTAGGGGATTACTGGATGACCCTCTCTGCCCTCTTAGCCTGTAAGCTCCGTGAGGGGTAGGGACATGGTCTGCTTTTTGTTCACCACTGTATTCCTGCAGGGCCTGCCATGGTGCCTGGCACTTAACAGGTGCTCAATAAATGTTTGTTGAAAGAATGAGTGTGAGTTATTTTTTTAAATGTCTTCCTCCACATGAAATTCTCAGCTTCCTAGTTGAGTGTGCTCACCATTGTGTCTCCAGGGTTTGTCAACTGGGCCGATGCACAGTAAGGCCTCAATGATTTTTAGGTCACCTGTTGCTGAATAGATGGGGACCCAACTTGCTGTCTGAGTCGGCAGTCTTAGGGGAAACCAGAACAATCAAAGTTGAGACAGGACAGGCCAAGGGCCATCTTGGTTGTCTGGAAAGTCAGGATTTAGTGAGAAAGCGATCCTCTTTTACTCCACAGACAACTTGGTAGGGCATCATGGTTAAGGATGTGGACTGAGGCCACATGTTATGGAAGTGGCGGAGCTGGGCTCTGAGCCAGGGTGGTCCTGCTCTAGTTCCCCAGTTCTTAAAGGCTGTACCAGGCTGGGTGGTGCGTCTTACCAAGCGGGGCATTGCCAGGCAAGTTGCTTTCCTTTTCAGAGCCTCAGTTTCCCTCAGTGGGAATTTGGAGGGGATCGCTGTTTGTTAGCACTTAGTAGGCGATGTTCCATTATTTGCTCAATCCACCCCACAGCCCTCTGAGATAGCTATTACCGTTATACCTTCTTTATGGAGGCGGAAACGAGGCATCAAGAGGTTAAGTGACTTGCTCCAGGTCACACAGCTGGTAGGTGGCAGAGCTGAGGTTATTCAAAGTGACATGTCCTGACCCTTTATTGAACTGTGAAATCAATTTCCTGGATCCCAATGAATATTAAAGAAAAAGAACTAGCATAGGAAATGATCAGTGTGCCTCACAACCCGTAGTAAAGGTAAGTGCCGTTTCATTCAAAGAACAACTGTTTTCCAGTTCTCTTTAAGTATGTATATTTACACATGTATGGGTGTGCTGGCTTATGATGTAAAATGTATTTCTTACTGTGGGTCACCGCCAAACGAATGAAGTCACTGCCATGAAGGAAGCTCATGGCAACGATAAAGTGCTCTCCTTCCTCCCACCCCGCTGGATGGGCTCTAAGTCCCAGAGTTGACACTGACACAGACCTTAGTTGGGGAAGGCAGAGCAATGCCCCCACAGAATGTGGTGGCTTTCACACCTGCTTCAAACCCTGCTCTTCAGAGAGCAGTTGGGTTGGGGTAACCGGGATTCCAAGTATCGTGGGGCAGGTTTCTGAGGCCACCTGACCCCTTGGAGAGTCAGCATTATCTTCGAGTTGACTACATGGGAGCTGGGGTCTGCTGAGTTTCCCTTTGGGTTTCAGTGCGTGACCCACTTAGGGCTGGCCAAGTTCTTTGAAAACAGCATCGGGGGTGCTCCCAGAGGACTCGGGGTGGTGGTGGCAGTGATGTGACTGCTCTGAAAGTCTGCTTTGCTCTTGCCCATTTGGGGGTTGTCAGCCCTCCCCTGCTCACACTCTGGTGATTGACATTTTTGTTCTGTCTTGGCTGGCCCAGGCTGGGGCCAATGGCACCTCTTTCTGAAATCTCATCTTCCAGTCTCCCCGGATGTCGTCTGAGGTCAGCAGTCATTGAGTTTCCTGATGGCAGGAGGAATTTCATGCCTAGGAGACTGGTGTGGCCCCTTCTAGGCTGCACTGTCTTGACTGATTCTCGAGAACGCCCCAAGGATACATCCCAGGTGCAGGCCCAGGTTCCCGGGCCTGTCCCCGGCCCACTACTTCCCTACTGCCCTTGAGGAGATAGCACGTGGCATTTGTGGGGCTGGTGCCAAAAGAGCAGGTTTCCTTCTCGAAAATTAGCAAGCACCCTGGAGGTACAGTTTTGTTCTTAATCTCCTCCCTCCCCATTTTTCTAAGAACCCCTCTTCTCTGTTACTGATCAATGAGTCAGTATACACTTGTACTCCATTTCTCTTACTATCCTCCTTTTGATTAAAGTCATAGCTGCCCCTGAATGTTTACTGTGAAAGACAGTTCAAGGATATTTAGGTTTTTTCTTTCTTTTTTTTTTTTTTTAGCCCACGGTTTCGAACACTGTCTTCAAAATGGAGCCCTCTTTGGATTGTTATCAGTGTGGTGTGTAGTTAGTGGGTGGAGAGACACGGTTCCTTGAGCCTTAGTTTCCGCATTTGTAAAAAGGGAAGGGTGCTGCTTTGAAGGATAGATGTGAAGGTTTTCAAATGACTTGGTGTATCAATGAAAAGGGCCCACGTTGGAGGAGATGAACGATAAATGCTTGTGCCTTCTGCTTTCATCTCTCTGACTTCAGAGGTATGGAGGGCACCCTGTGTACTTCTGCTGACTTTGTGGATCTTGGGATCGGCTGAATTGCTTGACCTGATTTTTGGAAGCTCCCCCTCTTCTCACGCTCCTCAGCTGCAGAAGAGATGCTCTGGGGGCTGAGAGATTTGTTTTTCTTCTCTCTCTTCTTCCTTCAGCTGAACGGTGGAATTCTTTTCCTTCTGGTTGGCTGCATCCTGTGGTTTCCCCTCTCCCCCCATGCTTTTTCTCTCTCACATACATTTAGGACCCTGGAATGGTATTTCAACACTGGGCCAGATGGCAGGAGATGGCTTGCCTAGTCCTGCCCCTGGGAGGGAGGGCTGCCCTTCTGTTTGTGGGTCTTCTTGAAGAAGCTTGCTTTAGAAGATCCTAGAAAGGTGACGTTTTCTCTAGTGAAGGACTACGCCAGCAAAAGAAGTCCGTAGAAATCGTGTTGGGCCCACAAGTCCAAAGACCTGGATTTTAAACTTACTGGGGGGACTGGTGCAGGACCAAGCTGGTTTGTTCCAAATCCCCCTTTCTTATCTGTGATGCTCGGGAGTTCGTGGCCAGGCTTCTGGAGTCACTCACTCCAGGGCCTTGTAATATTCGGATTCAAATACCTTTGGTGAGACGCATGAGCCCTAGTCCGTGGAGAAAGACAGACGGCCCCTTCTGGAGCTTCCAGACTCTAGACCCATGTACCTGGCTCAAATTTCCTCCCTGAGGGACCTTGCCGCCACTTCCGTGTCTGGTGGTCACCTAGCCACATGTCCCATGAAGGCAGGGAAACTGGGAATGGATATATGGGCAAAAGGCAGGTCCAAAGAAAAGCCTGAATGAAAGAAGAGGGAGAGGTCTTGTCTGTTATTGCTGCCCCCCTCTATCTACTTCTGGAAAGGATCAGAGATGGGGTTGGGGTAAGACCCCAGTTTCCCTTGTCCGGGAAGTGGCAGTTTGTTGATTGAGAGCCTGGATTTAGACATGGGAGCCAGAAGGCTTAGGTTTTGGTCCTCGCTGCCTGACCTTGAGCCGGTTTCCTTGGCTTCTGCGTCATCATCTGCGAGATGCGGATGATAATACTACCTACTTCATAGGATTAAAAGTACCTACCTCACAGGATTGTCGTGAGGATTGCATTAATATACGTGAAAGCACACAGAACAGTGCCGAACACCATAGTAGGTATTCTATTCAGGTCAGCTAGTGATCCTCGGCTCCTGTGAGGTAATTGATTATGTGTTTTCAAAAAGTTGCAACCGTCTGCAGAAATGTCAACATCATCATAATACCTGTTCGGAACGGAAAGGTCTGAGCAATTGCCTCAGCTCCTCTCAGTCTCTGCTCATGTTTTTGTTAACGCTTCCCTCTCATTTGCCTTCATCGGTAAACATTTGGTACTCATTTCTGAGAAAGAGAACAGCGATTTCTCCATGATCCCTGTGACCCCACCCCTGGCAGAGACTGGCTGAAATACACTTGCCTTATGCCACTTAGACCTCGGGGCCTGACTTGCCTGGCGGAGAAGGACCAACTTTAGTGAATATCTGCAGTCGATTCAGCCCCTGCTCTGTGCCAGGCCCCAGTGTCTGCCTCGGTGGCCTTGACTGCCCTGTGCTTGGTGTGCACATCCTGGCTGTCCTGTGCTATGTTTTAAGGTGAGGAGGCTGAGGCTCTGAAAGGTTAGGTGCTCGGCCAGGCTGATAGGGTGACGGGTGGAGGATTAGTGGAGGGACCCAGGTCTTTGTGAGCCCGGGTTACTTCCTTTTTCTGCTGGCCTCCTTGCTGTTCTCCAGTTGCTTCCTTCCTCCCCCTTGCTGCTTTCTGAGTCCCCCAGTCCTCACCTGCCCTTTCTTGGAAAAAGCGGGTCCCTCTACGGCTAGGGATATACCCTAAAGAAACAGTCCAAAATGCTCCTAAAGCCATGCCCAATAATGTCTGCTGGAGTCTGCTTCGTGAGAGCAAAACGAAGGCCACAACCTAGCCGCTCAGGAGGACGGGAACAGGTTACATACGTTACGGTGAGCCGCTGTGAGCGTAAACAGCCATTTCAAATGTTGACAAAAGGGTATATTCTTCTGCTTATGGTTACGGACAGCGCCAGCTGCGAAATGCCGTCCGCAGAACCTAAGTTGGTTTTGTAGAATATCTGGAATGAACTTTTCCAACATGTTGGAAAAGTTGGCCTCTGGCTGATGTGTGACTTTTTCCCTTCTCTACGCTTTCCTGTGTTTCATAACATTTCTACAACGCGTCTGTAGGACTTTTCTAACGGGGGGAGTAAAAAGAGGTGGCAGAAGGGAAGACGGCCACCGACGCTTAGGAGTGGGCCACCACAGAGGCTCGGAAGGTGCCGGTGGGTGGCAGAACTGGCCTCTCGGGACATCAGATCCATGGATTCTCCCCTTTGTCCCCCTCCCTAGGCCTACTGAGGAAGAGCTGAGGATGAAGAGTGTGAAGGACAGCACCCCTTCTATGGGTAAGCACTTGGCGGGCTGTGGGGGTTTTAGCTTATGTTTACCATTTTCTTTCTTTCTCTCTGTTTTCTCTACATGAATTAGGAGGTTCCCTCTGTCTTAGACTGTCACAGAAAGCCTCAGAGGCAAAGCTGCCAAGTAGCCCCAAGAGCAGCCTTTCCTAACTAAACCAGGCCTGCTTGCACACCCACCTCACCCCAACACTACCCTTCTCTTCTCTCCAGCAGAGCGCCCTAGTGTCCAGGAGTCGGTGGGTCCCCTGGTGGCCCCTACCCCTCTCCGTCCGTGGCCTCAGATGACGCTTCAGGTAAGCAGGCCCTGGCAGCCTCTGGATGGACAGCCCAATGGGAGACTGGGTGGCAGGGGCTGACTTGCTCCAGGTCTACCCTAGGTCGGAGGGAGGCCCCCCAAAGCAGAACCTGATGGCGGAGGGGCAGAGTGCAGTTATTCACCTGAGTCTTTGTTATGTTAGCAAATATTTACTGAGTGCTTGCGCTGTGCCAAGTAGTTCTGGGCCCTGGGAATATGGTAGCGACCAAAAAAGCTGTCTTCCCGGGGCTTATTTATATTTTGGTGGAGTGAGACAGGACAAAACAACATAATAGTTAAAATATATGATATTTTAGATGATGATGGGTGCTAAGGAAACAAAGGGATGGGTGCTAAGGAAAAAAAGGAGGGTGGGGGGAAGGTTTGTGAGTTTAGAACAGGTGGCCAGGGGAGGCCTTCGTGGTAAGTGAGATTTGAGCAAAGATCTGGAGAAGGTGAGAGTGAACCACGTGGGTAACTAGGGGAAGAACATCCCAGGCAGGTGCAAAGTCCCCCAGGCAGGGCCATGACAAAATGTGTGAGGGACAGCGAGGAGCAGTGTGTGTGTTGGGGGGGTTGGGGGGGCAGCAGGAGGTGAGGTCAGACAGCAGGTGGGGGACAGATCATGTAGGGTCTCGTGGGCCTTGGAGAGAACTCTGGCTTTTACTCTGAGTGACTGGAGAGCAGGAGGTGGTGAGCGGAGGAGGGCCGTGATCTGACTTAGGATTTAACAGGCTCCCTCTGGCTGTTGTGAGGACAATAGGCTGTAGGGGCAGAAGCAGGGGGGACCGTGAGGGGGAGGCTACTGCAGAGGTCCGGGCCAGTGATGCCGGTGCTGACAGGGGAGATAGATTCTGGAGATGTGTGTGTGTGTGTGTGTGTGTGTGTGTGTGTGTGTGTGTGTGTTAGTACAAAGATTTTCAAACAGACACAGAAGGAAAGAGACTAGTATAATGAACTCACATATGCCTGTCACCCAGCTTCAACAAATTTCAACACATGTCCATTCCTACTTTTTCCATACCCCCTCCGCTCCTCCCTTGCCTATGGAATTATTTTAGAAAAAAATCCAGACATTATCTCATCCACAAATATTTTAGTTTGTACCTCAGAAAATTAAGCACTCGTTAAAAAAAACACAACAAAAAACCCCCCAAAAAACCCAACCCCGACAATGCAGCATCACGCCTCGGGAAATCAACAGTCTTTAGTATCATCAAATATTTGATCAGTGTTCAAATTTCCTTATCTCATAGGTGTTGTAGGATCCAAACCGGGTCAACACATTGCATTGGGTGGATGGGTCTTTTTTAGATATTTAAATCTCCCTCACTTTTCTGGCAGTTTGTTTGTTGAAGAAACCTTGTTTGTCCTGTAGAGTTTCCCACAGGCTGGTTTTGGCTGATTGCATCACATGGAAACACATTTCTTACTCTTTTTATTGATATACTAATTCCATTTAATTAATGTGATCTATTAAATTTAATTAATTTACTTTATTAAACTATCAATTTTGTTAAATTGATTTATTAAATACAATCTATTATTATGAAACTAATTTAACTAGAATTGATTCTATTTAATTCTCTTATTCCCATTTCGTTTACTAACTGGAATTCTTCTCTAAAGAAAAACTTTCTCATATCAACCGTTTGGCTGCCTTGAATGTATATAGTTTGTATTGAAAAAGCTGTATAAATGCTTAATTTTTTCCCTTTTATTTACCAGTTTTCAGAAGAAGTGAACTTCTCCAAAGGTGACCAACTAAAGGATTTTTGGTTTTGGTGTATTATTACTAACTCATGAATTTTAAACATATTTGCTAAGTTTCAAGCCATTGCATTTATTTATTTATTTTGATGTTTAAATTGAACTCTCTCCGGTCAGTGGGAGCTTGTTTACATTGGTTCCAGAGTCCTTTTGAACACATCCCCATCATTCTTGGTCCACTCCTTCACATTCTAGAATGACAATGTGTCCTAGATTCATCTCGTATTTGCCCTGCCCCAAACCTGGGAGCAGCCATTTAGTGAGAAAGCTCTGGTTCCTTTTAGGGGAGAATGGTATTTAGAAAGCAGGATCTGGGTGCTCAGTGTGCTTGTTGCTGCTAGATAGGCCATTGTTTCTAGGCCTTGTCAAAATAAATGTTTTTAAAAGAGAAAATACATGAATTCATGTGGATATTCTGGATCTGTTTTAGAGGTTAGCCGGCAGTATTTACTGAGAGCTCTTCCCCAAATGTTGGTGCCCGCTGCCTTCCTTAACCTTATGATCTGCAGGACTCCCCTTTTACTCCATCTGATTTGGTTATTTTAATATAGATGACATAGGCCTTAGTGTTTGGAGAATTAGAGAGGGCTCTTTAAGGAGGGTTTTATCTGGAAACACCTGTGGGCCTGGGTGTGGGCTGTCGCCCACTCTCACTGTCTCTGCTTGTCCCCTCCCCTCCTCTACTTCATTCCTTTCCCTTTCTCTCCCCTCCTGCCCTGCCACCCTCCCAATGGCTCTAGGTTTCTGAAGTTACAGTGACTGGCAAACCCCCAGAGGAAGGTGACGTCCCCAGAAGCAATCCGCCTGTGGCTTTCACGGAGGTCCCCCAGGCGCCGGCCATCAGGATCCTCCCCTCTTCCTCTGTCTGTGGCCTGGGTGGCTCTCCCAGGGACCAGGCCTCGGGGCCCGATTCAAGTGAGGGGGCAGCCGGGCCTCTCCTGGAACCCAGCCAGCAACAGGTGGAGGCCACGTGGGAAGTATCGAGAGAGAATGGAGGGGGCCAGAAGGACTCCGTGGTGGGGGCCATAATGGATGAACCCCCTGGGGGTCTGGAGGTCGTGAGTGGGTTGGAGGAGCTGCTTGGCGAGGACACCATTGACCAGGAGCTGGAGCAGCTCTACCTGTCCCACCTGAGCCGCCTGCGGGCTTCTGTGGCTGCAGGTGGGGCAGGGGGTGGCGGGGAGGGCCCCACAGATGGGGGGGTGTCCCCCAGCCATGCCCTGGGCATCCTCACGGACCGCGACCTGATCTTGAAGTGGCCTGGCCCCGAGCGGGCCCTGAACAGTGCCCTGGCTGAGGAGATCACACTGCACTATGCGCGGCTGGGGCGTGGTGTGGAGCTTATCAAGGACACTGAGGACCCTGACGAGGAGGGGGAGGGTGAAGAGGGACTGTCCGTTACACCCTCCAGCCCCGAAGGGGACACCCCCAAGGAATCGCCTCCGGAAATCCTCTCGGGAGCCCATTCTGTGGTAGCCACTATGGGAGATGTGTGGCTCCCGTGGGCAGAGGGCTCGGGTTGTGACAGCCCCGTGGTTCTGGGTGCAGAGGGTCAGTTCACTGGGGCTCCAGCAAAGGGGATGGGCAAGGACACCGACTCTTTGCGTATAAGTAGGGTGACAGCTGGGGTGACCGGGTCCCCAGGGGGGAAAGAAGGACGGATGGAGTTTACCACTGAGTGGGCAGACAGCTTGGTTCCTATACCTGGTAAGGAGCTAGCTGCTCCAGTCCTACAGGGGCAAAGTCTCACCCTCCTTGGTCCCTCCGGGGCCGAAGTCTGTCCTTCTAGCCTGGCCAGGCCTCACGTGAGCTCCCAGGATGAAGAGGGTTCAGGCCCAAGCCTTGAGTCCCCAAAGAAGTCTCCCACCTTAGCAGCCCCTGCAGAATGTGTGTGTGTATTTCCTCCCCAGCTCCGGGGGCCCTTGACCCAGACTCTGGGGGTCCTGGCTGGGTTGGTGGTGGTCCCTGTGGCTCTGAACAGTGGTATGTCCCTCCTGGTGCTTGCGCTGTGCCTCTCTCTGGCCTGGTTCTCGTAGAGGCTGCCTGTGGGGGGGGGGAGCAATAACAGGCTTCCCCCCCTCTCTGGGGTGTGGGGAGAGGCAGTCCCTACACCACCCCCAGGGGATTCAGATAGGATGTGTGGCCTGTATAGTGAGGGGTCTTTTGCTTCTGAGAATGCCTGACTGGAGAGAGACCTTCCGGTCCCTGAGGACTTGTCGGCCCGGGGCTCCCTGCGGTGATACCAGTGGAGGGGAACAGGGCATGGTGGACGGTGTGAGATAATTTTCAGAGAGGAACTGGGCATGTCCTCCCTTTCCCCTCCCCCCCCAAGCCTGTATTTATTTTTGTATAATTCTCTGGATGAGGGAGAGTGGTCGTGAGCTGGTCTTGGGGCACAATTACCCAGAGATATATTTATTAACAGCCAACCTGTGCAACCTGCTGGAGCTTTATTTTTAATTTAATTTATATAGAGTACCTATTATTATATGCCACAATAGAGCTCTATGAGAAATGATGTGTCTTGCTGTACAGTGTTCTCCTGTTTGGGCCTGAGTGTGTGGGGTGGTCATGTTCTGTGGGAGGGGCAGGGTGGGGACTTGGGCGTGGGACACGTTCATGCCTGCTGCCACGGCTTCAATGTGTCACCTCACCTTATGGTCCTACCCCGTGTGGTCTGGTGGTCTTTGGAGGGGTGGGTCCTTTGGTATTTTCTATATTCTGCCAGGGAGGGAGGAAGAATGATTGATTGCCATATGAGGGTTTGGTGTCCAACACGTGGCCGCAGCGGTGGATGTAGTCAGCTGTAGATGTGGGAATACTGGCTGTGAATCAGCCACAGGTTTTGAGGTTCCTGAAAAAAAAAAAAAGCCTTTGACACCAGGAGGGAGACCCCTCTGTCCCCAAGATTGGGAAGGTCTCACAAGGGAGAGAGGAGTTAATGTGCTGTGAAGAATTCATACCAGAGTTGTTGTCCACAGATTTTGCCTTTCTAACTCAAAACAGGAAACCCAGAAGCTTTGAAAGAAAGGATAGATATATTTACTGCATGCAAATAAAAATCTCTGCATTAGTAAAACAAAACACCATATATTTATTTACTTCCCTTCACAGCAAAACTTTACACCAACTTTCTTCCATTCCTCTCCAGGGCTCCAGGGCTTTTCTGAGAAACAGCCCCAATCAGATTGTTTGCCCAGCCACTTCAGCAAAAGTTCTGAAGTCACTGATGATATACGATTGGTCTATCAACAGCCACATCCCAGTCTTCATCTTCCTTGACCCATTGGCAACATTTTACACAGTTGGTCATCCTCGCAACCTTGAAATCTCTCTTTACTTGGTTTCCAGGACACCACACTTGCTTAGTTTTCCTCTTTCCTCGTTGGCCACTCTTCTAGAACAGTGCCCAGCACCTAGTAAGTCCTCAATAATGCCTACTGAATAAAATACATGATGGAACAAATAAAGGGATGTGGGAAAATATAGAGACATGGTTAGAGAACTTAGTTGGGCATTCAGGGGTGACAAGCTCAGTTCAGTTCCACAAATGTTGACTGACCGTCTCTCCTCTGCTCTGAGAACATGGGAAGGATCTCACACTCTAGTGGGGGAGACAGATACAGAGAAAGGATTTTACTGCAGTGTGGTTAGCGCATTAGCAGCGATGGGGGCCTCAGAACAGATGCTCAGCCCAGCGTGGGGACTTTGGAAACCTTTTGGAGGGCATGGTGCCTGAACTGAATTAAAAAATGAGAAGGAATCCACCAGGTAGTGAAGGGGAAGAGAGGGTAGTCCAGTCAGAAGGAATAGCATTGCAGAAGTCTGGAAGAAGAAAACAGGTACTGAAAACAAACTCAACACCCACTCATTTTATGTGTCTTTCAATGAGGATATTCTCACTTGGTCAAATACCAAAGACCAAACATGTGTCCACGGTCTTCCATTGATGTGATAATTTGCTCAATGTCCAAAAAGGCAACTTTCTGCCAACTGGATTGAGAAGTTAGATAAAATGGACAAATTAGTCAAATTACTACAAACATGTAACTTGCCAGAACTGTCTCCAAAAAAAAAAAAGATGAAAAGTTGAGTAGTCCTATGACCATTAAAGTAACAGAATCTATAGCCAGAAGTCTTCCCACACAGAAACTCTGGGCCCCGGGTGGCTTCACTGGTGAAACACTCAAGGAACAAATCATTCTGATTTTACAAAAGGGATTCCAGAGCACCATAAAAGGGAGCGTTTCTAATTCGTTTTATGGGGCTGATAGAACATTGATACTAAAACTTGATGAGTGAAAAAATATTACAGATCTCAAGAAAATGTACAAATACCTTAAACTAAATAGCTGCCTGTCTTGGTCTGCTTAGGGAGCTGTAACAAAATAGTGTAGACTAGGTGGCTCAAAAACAACATTTATTTCTCAGAGTGCCAGAGGCTGGGAAGTTGAAGATCAAAACACCTACAGATTTGGGGTCTGGTGGGGACCAACGTCCTGGTTCATAGATGGCTGTCTTCTTGTGGTATCTTCACATAGTGAAGGGGCAAGGTTACTCTTTGGGGTTTCTTTTTTTTTAACGATTTTATTTATTTGACAGAGAGACACAGTGAGAGAGGGAACACAGCAGGGGGAGTGGGAGAGGGAGAAGCAGGCTTCCTATGGAGCAGGGAGCCTGATGTGGGGCTTGATCCCAGGACCCTGGGACCATGACCAGAGCTGAAGGCAGACGCTCAACCGACTGAGCCACCCAGGTGCCCCTAGGGTTTCTTATAAGGGCACGCATCCCATTCGTGAAGGCTCCACCCTCATGATCTAATCACCTCCCAAAGGCCCCACCTCCTAATACCATCACATTGGGGATTACATTTCTTTTTTTTTTAATATTTTATTTATTTATTTGACAGAGAGAGAGAGAGACAGCGAGAGAGGGGACACAAGCAGGGGAAGTGGGAGAGGGAGAAGCAGGCTTCCCGCTGAGCAGGGAACCTGATGTGGGGCTCGATCCCAGGACCCTGGGATCATGACCTGAGCAGAAGGCAGACGCTTAACGACTGAGCCACCCAGGCGCCCCTGGGGATTACATTTTAACATAAACTTGTGAGGGGACACAATCATTCAGTCTCTAGCACTGCCTACATCCAGTATATTTAAAAAGTGTAGTATAACCAAGTTGGATTTATTCTAAAACTGCAACATGGTTTAACATTTGGAACTCAGTCAACAAAAGTTTATTCATTAATATATTAAAGGAAAACCCACAATAATCTCAATAAGTATCGAGAAAGGGTTGGATAAAATTTAACATCTATTCATGATTTTATTTTTTGAAGGATTTTATTTATTTGTTTGAGAGGGGTGGGAGGAGCAGAAGGAGAAGGACAAGCAGACTCCACACTGAGTGCAGAGCCCGTGGTGGGGCCCAGTCCCACGACCCTGAGATCATGACCTGAGCCGAAGTCAAGAGTTGGATGCTTAACTGACTGAGCCACCCAGGTGCCCCTCTATTCTTGATTTTAAAAACCTTAGCAAGGGGGGGGGTGCCTGGGTGGCTCAGTCATTGGACGTCTGCCTTCAGCTCAGGTCATGATCCCAGGGTCTGGGGATCGGGCCCCGCGTAGGGCTCCCTGCTCCGCGGGAAGCCTGCTTCTCCCTCTCCCGCTCCCCCTGCTCGTGTTCCCCCTCTTGCTGTATCTCTCTCTGTCAAATAAATAAATAAAATCTTTAAAAATAAATAAATAAAAAAATAAAAACCTTAGCAAGGGACACCTGGGTGGCTCAGTTGATTGAGCATCGGGTTCCTGATCTCGGCTCAGGTCCTGATCTCAGGGTTGTTAAGTGCAAGTCCCGAGTTGGGCTCCACACTGGGCGTGGAGCTGACTTGAAAAAAAAAAAACTTAGCAAATTAGTTGAATACATTTTTTTTAATTTTTAAAAATTTTTATTTATTTAATGTGGGGGAGGGAACACAAGCAGGGGGAGTGGGAGAGGGAGAAGCAGGCCTCCCATGAAGCAGGAAGCCCGATCCCCATGATCCTGGGATCATGACACGAGCCAAAGGCAGAGGCTCAATGACTGAGCCACCCAGGCGCCCCAGTTGAATATATTTTCTTAACATAAACGGTATCTATCTACAAGGATTTATAGTAAACTACATACTTCAAATGAAATTTTAAGAGCTCTGACATTTGGAACCTGGCAAGGATGCCTGCTATCGCCATTTCTACTCAGCATTGTACTGGAGGTCCTAACAACCACAGTAAGGCAAGGAAAGGCAAGGAAAAGAAATTAAAAATATTTAAAGATTGGAAATGAAGAACAGAATTGTCATTATTTGTAGATGATACCATTGTGTATGTGGAAAATCCAAAATAATCTATTGACAAATTATTAGAATTATTAAGAATTTAAAAAGATTTCTGATACAAAAATGCACATTCAAAAATCAATTGCTTTTATATGCTAACAACAGACAAAATTTTAATAAAGATACCATTTATGGACTACTTAGAAATTAACAAAAGAGGGCAAGATCTTTTTTTTTAAAGATTTTATTTTTGGGGAACCTGGGTGGCTCAGTCAGTTAAGTGTCTGCTTTCAGCTCAGGTCATGATCCTGGGGTCCTGGGATCCAGCCACTAGTTGGGCTCTGTGCTCAGCGGGGAGCCTGCTTCTCCCTCTCCCTCTGCTGCTCCCCCTGCTTATGTGCTCTTTCTCTGCCAGATAAATAAATAAATAAATAAAAGATTTTAATTTTTTAAAGATTTTATTTATTTATTTGACACACACAGAGAGAGAGAGCACAAGCAAGGGGAGCAGCAGGCAGAGGGAGAGGGAAAGGCAGGCTCCCCACTGAACAAGGAGCCCGATGTGAGGCTCAATCCCGTGACCCTGGGCTCATGACCTGAGCCCATGGCAGTGGCCTAACTGACTAAGCCACCCAGGCGCCCCTAAAAGATTTTATTTTTAAGTAATCTCCACACCCAATGTGGGGCTCGAACTCACAACCCCGAGATCAAAAGTAACATGCTCTACCAACTGAGCCAGCCAGGCGCCCCAAGAGGGCAAGATCTTTTAGTAAAAAAATATAAAACTTTACTGAAAGACATTTTAAAAGATTAAATAAATAGATACACATGTTACTGAATGAAAGAGTCAATTGATAAAGCTGTCAGTTCCCTCTGAACTGTTTTGTAGGTTCAATGTAAATCCAGGCACGATTTCAATAGATTTGCGTGTCTGCGTATCATAACAGGTTAGTTTTTAAATTTATGTGGAAGTGCCAACTAGCCAGAACACCCATACTTAATGTAAGGTAGAGCAATTAAGATGGTGTGATACTGTTGCAAAGGTAGACAAATAGACTAATGAAAGACCAGTGGTCTCAGAAACAGACCCACTTATATGTAGATTCAGAATAGGTAGCCAAGGAGGTATTGTGAGACCAGTGGGAAATGGTTGGACTTTCAATAAATGGAACAATCTGTTATCCATATTGAAAAAAATGAAATTGGATCCTTACAACACAAAAATAACTCTAGGCAGATTCAAAACCTAAATGTGAGAAGCAAAACTAAAGAGCTTTAAGAATTTAATATAGAGGGGTGCCTAGGTGGCTCAGTTGGTTAAGCCTCTGCCTTCAGCTCCGGTCCTGATCTCAGGGTCCTGGGATTGAGTCCCACATCGGGCTCCCTGATCTGCAGGGAGTCTGCTTCTCCCTCCCCCTCTGCAACTCTCTCTCTCTCTCTCAAATAAATGGGTAAAATCTTTAAAAAAAACAACAAGAATTTAATATAGAAAAATACCTTCATATACTCATGGTAGAAAAATTTTTCTTAAACAAGACTCAAAACACTAACCATAAGTGACAATTATAAAACATTCAATTACATTAAAATTAAGAATGTCTATTGATCAAAAAACACCATAGAGTGAAAGCCACAAATTGGGAGGCAAATTGAGAGAAGATAATTCAAACACAATTAACTGATGAAAAGCTCAAAAACTATTAAAAACTACAAATAGAAAAACCAGATGTGCTATGAAGTGTATAGATAAATTA